ATATATTATACAATGTATATATTAAATATAGCTATCTCTTGCACATATGAATGTGTATATCACATTTTCTTTTCTTCATCTGTTGAGCATATAGACTATTATTTTAGCAGTTGTCAGTTACTCTGCTATAAATGTGGGCTTGCAGGGACCACTGTAGTGTGACTCTTACCATATTCTCCCATCCTTTCTGCTCTTCTGTGCACTGACCTGGCTTTTATACTATCCCAGAGGATTCCAAAACATGTGCTTCAAAACTACGTTGCTTATTTTCCTCTAAAGGAAGAACCCATTTTTGATTTAGAGAATTAGACTATCTTGGTGTTTTGCTTGCACCAGTAAATGCAAAGGATCTACATAATCACTGAATGTATTGTGATTGTTCCTCCAGCAAACAAGAGGGCCCTGAATAGGCATAGCATCATACCCATCTGCTGGCAGTCCCTTTGTTAAGGGAGACACCTTGTAGGAAAAAGTAGAAACAAATGGTTGAGGCAAGGCAAATTCCTATAAGATGACTTTAGAGTTTCCCACAAGGTGTTAGTCGTGATTTATCTTTGCTTTTTTACCTTAAAATATTTACAATTTTATACTATATTAGAAGGATTAGAAGAGTGACTTCTGTTTGTGAATCTGAGTAGCAGATTGTGTGTCCAACTCACACATCCTTCAGTGAGTCTCATTTATCCCTCAGGAATTGAAGCTGCAGTGCCATCCTATAATAGTTCGGGTGGCATTGTCATGTGGTGAAACACTTGTGACTTGTAGGGACATAACCAATCCTATTTCTGCTTCACACTGTGCTGCCATTGTTTTGTCTAATTCCAACAAGCATATGCAATTAAGACTCATTAATGAAATCATCCTAGTTATGATTTTTTATTGGCATATGACAATTTATAAGGGTCCCTTTTGCATTATACATCACACTGAGTAAAAATTTTGTGGCCATCTACATTCATTCTTATGGGTAATATTTTTCCTCAAATTATAATTTAATTCCCAACACTGATCTTAATTATGATACCCTTGGTATTCTTGCCTTATATAAAACCTCATAATTTCCTAAGACTTCTCAGTGAACTCAAACTCCTATGCAAATATGGGCTTTCACTTTAAGTTAATTTTATATTTTTCATGCTGTACAATGATAAATTTATGAGATTTGTGTTTTGAAATATCTCTTGGATCCTTATCTGGCTTGAGCTTTCCTCTACAGCATGACCTCAGGCTGCCAGCAAGCGGCGTTTGCTCACGGGCTGCTTTCTCCTTTGTCAAATTACTTGTCACATCCTCTGCTGTGTAGGTCCATGGCTATCATGTTGTCAGAGCAAATCACCTTGGCTTCCCAAAAGGCAAGATCATACCTTGAGTGTTTACAGGGGCTTTTGTATGAAGATCATTCTCTCAGAACAATAAAAATGAACTCTTTCCCCATAAAGGACTCTTGAGAGCATATTAGTGTGAATTTTACCTCATTCTTTTTAAAAAATTGTGTCATCCCAACTCTTAAAAGTTATAAAATAACTATAAAAACCTCAGCTCTCTACACACTTGTCTACTAAAATATCCTTTAATTTTATTGTACCCATTAGAAAGATCAGTGGCCCAATCACGGCTGCATCACAATGACTGATTTGATAGTGGGCCTAAGAAAATTTATTTGTATATTTATCTAGCACTGGACAATCCGTTATTACTTACCTCCCATTATATCAGCATAACTTTCACATAACTTCTCCATGGAACTTGCCTGAATTTAGAAATTGCCCTGGATGGATGCACAGGAGATATAGACGTAACTTGTGGTCACTTGTGGTGAAAGCCTCACAGAAGTAATAACTGGAAGATTTCGCCGAAGTATTAATTGGACACTTCCCACTATTCTGGGAAAACACTTTCAAAATTTTATACTTTTAAGTGTTTTGGTGGAAAAAGAGTAAATGAGCCTTCTGTTGGCCATTCATTTAGTGAAATAAGCAGCTAGATTAATATGCTTATCATATTAGTAGAGTGTAGAAAGAAGGGATGTTTTCAGTAGTGGCAATAATATGTACTGGCTGTGATGTTCCTAATGCTCTTTTGGTATAGTCCTAATTGTAAACCCAGAAAAGACCTGGGATAGAGATGACAAGAGAGCAGATTCAGAATATAATTGGGATCAGGGTGATGTTCCAGTATAGAGGCTCCATGGGGACAAAAGCCTTCCCCTGCCCACACTGTTGAAAGGGTCTAATTGAGATGATGGAGAATACTGCTTGTGGTTCTTCAAAGAATTGACTTACTGTTTGAGATAGAGTGATGGATAAGAATCCTGTTGGAGATGGAGGGGAAAAGGACAAAGAGCAGCCACACAGCAGGCCTCCTCCTCCTCCTCCCAGCTGTGGAATAATACATGTGCTTCATAGGGACTTATTGGGTGCTCAGGAGCAGAATACTGGAATGGCCCCTTGATGTTTTAGTGCAATGCAATACTAACAAGACTGAAAGGTCCCGGATTCAAAGGGTCCTGTCATTTCTTCCTCACTCCTTCTAGCTGTCAAAGATGCAGGTCATTAGCGTGTTTTTCTCTGTGTCTGGCTGTCTCTGTGATAAATAGCAAAATGGACCATTCTAGGCTCATAGAGAAGAAGTGAAGAGTAAAGTACTTACTGTACTGCCAGTAAGTATATGAATGGCAGAAACGGGAGGCATTTGGATGACTTGCAGGGCAACTGCACTTCTTGATTATAGAAGAGAAGTTTATCAACATTCTCTTCTGAGATGTGTCAGTTCTGTAAATGTATTTTTTTTCATTTATTCCTTCACTTTATTTATTTATTTTTTTACAGTCATAGAGGGGCCTTTTCTTGAAGTATACCTTTTAATTATTTTAGGTTTGTATACAGAAGGACTTAATTTTTACTAGATATTTTATTGAAGTGTAATTATTGAAGAGTACACAAATCATAAGTGTACAGCTTGATGAATATTTAGACAATGAATGCACCTACATAGCTAACACCTGGATCACAAAACAGAACATTACCAGTGTGAGAGTCCCTGTGTACTGTTTTCCAGAGGCAAAGAAGCTAGGTTGAAAAATATATAATTAAGAGAATAGAAAAAAAAGTACAGCGAAATATTAGAAACAATACAAAACTTCACTAAACAAAATGATAGGAATTCAACAACGGTTGTTATATTGTGCATTGCTGTCTTGAAATTAGTTGTTCAGATTACCAGATCTAAGCCTGTAAAATTGGTTGAAAAGCTATAAAAAAATTTAAAAAGAGAGAAAAAAATTTAAGCATTAATTGCTCCTTTTAGTGGACCGACAGAAATCAGCAGTACAATTATCTAAGCTATCCTGCATATATATATATATCTTTTGTTTGTATTTTAGGCAAGAGTCTACAGGGTGTGCAGGGTCTCACTATTAGATAGGACTCGTATTGATTTACTTGTTTACAACCTTTCAAGAGCTGGGATTATAGGCATGGGCCATCACGCCCAGTCTCAATGGCCATCTCAGCATGCCCTGGGGGCAGGGCCAGCAGGCCAGGCCTGGGGATGGAACCCCCAGCCCCTGCGCCTCCTTGCAGGCCCTTTAATCTGTTAAGCTATTTGGCTGGCATATATATATATATATATAT